ATGTTTATGGATTGGATCCTGGTCTACAAAGACCGAAAAGAAAAAAAAAAAAGGTAAGATGACTATGCCCAATAATTGCCTTTAGTCTTATTCAACAAGGTTTCCGTTGTGCAATAGTTGAATACTATAACCTTTTTTTTTTCGCGCAAAGCTATACGAGGGCTATCTGCGCTAGCTGTCCCTAATTTATTAGCTGTGAAACACTAGAGTGGGATTGACCGTATAATTATGACGCCCCACGGCTGAAAGGACGAGTACGTTTGGTGGGACGGGAATTTGAATCCGCGACCCTCAGGTTGCGAGTCTAGTGCCATAACCGCCTGGACATGCCTAAATAAGTCGTGTGTGTGTCAATATTATATATTTACATATAGATAAATAGAATAGATATTGGACCAAGATATTAGTATCGCCAAATAGTTTTATACAAACAAAAATGTACACGTATAACCGATACAAATCGTAATGATAAGTCAATGTCCATCTACGTCTGTTTGTCATGTATTGCATGAGTACAGCAAACCAGTTTCAGCTTCTTGGCGGTTGTGGAGGTAGACAGTAATGCCTTGTGTGCCATCGTGATGCGCTAGCATTTGTTTGTTGTTGTTAAGTGCAAAGGTACTCAGTAGGTTATCTATGCCGCGTCCACCACGTGTATCGAAACCCGGTTTTTAGCGTTACAAGACTTCAGACTTACTGCTGAGCCACTCGGGGCATGCGCTAGTTCGTATTTTCTAATACTAATTATTATTGTATCTTCACATTCTCTCAACAAAAACACATATAATTACTTACCAGAACATCAAAAATGCCTGGGCATTCACAAACTATTATGAAGTCAGCATTTTGTATAATTCCAATACAAATGTATTGTATGTAAATATATTAGCATGAATGTCTTCTTTAATAATAAAAGGCTTATTAACTCGCACGAACCAGAAGGCAATAAATAATTTATATGAGCATAAATGAATTGCCCTGGTGATTAATTTGGTGCTGGACCTTACTCAAATTTGTAAAATCAAACAGGATTTATTACTTGTATAAAACAAGTATCTCCGACAGTGATACGTTACCACACACTTCAAAGACGATTGCCACAAAGTACCATATTATTCTGTAACAAAACCACTTTAGTTATTTTATCGACGTCTTCGAAGTACTGGTTTGTTTGTTTGTTTTGAATTTCGCACAAAGCTACAAGAGGGCTATCTGCGCTAGCCGTCCCTAATTTAGTAGTGTAAGACTAGAGGGAAGGAAGCTAGTCATCACCACCCACCGCTACTCTTTTACCAACGAATAGTGGGATTGAGCGTCACATTATAACGTCCCCACGGCAAAAAGGGCGAGCATATTTGGTGGGACGGGGATTCGAACCCGCGACCCTCAGATTGTGAGTCGAGCGCACTAACCACCTGGCCATGCCGAGCTACTCGAAGTATTAACGAGTTCTACTTAACTAGTCTGAGTTTATTAGGTCGATACAAAAATATATCAGTGTACTTCACATGCCTCACAAAGAAACCTGCAATGTAGTAGTGGTATCTTGTGTCGTAATCAAACAAGAATTTTAACATATTGACTGTATATTTAATATTTTATGCACGTTTCTTTGCCACAAACGAGCCTTGTTTTCTCCAGCATTACCTTCCACTTTCGAAAACTACATTATGATGTCGAAAATAAATATAATAGTATCACGTTTGCGGTAATTAGAAGAAGGAAAAAAATTGAGAAAACCACGCGGCTAGCCTTTAGTACTTCACACACACAATGTAGGTAAAACACCGGTACAAGGAAAATTATACACGATATACGCTGCTACTCTGTAAATCTAACAAAGCCTACCGTTAAACATAATACATTATATGCACATGTGTGTGTGTGTGTGTGTGTGTGTGTATGTATGTGCTAGTCAGATAAAAGCCAGGCAAACGTGTTTAACTTTTTAAAACACCGGAAGTTGTCCTTTTTTTAACGACACATCGTTACTATATAATGCTGGTTACACACATATACGCTGTACCTTGGGTAAGCTAACATTACTACCTTTACTAACAAGTACACGTGTTAAAACTTTAACCGCCAAATCCTTTCCGTAAACGAACGTTCATGATGACAAACCTTCAACATTAATCACAATTTATCAATTAATAATTCAATTCAAATTGCACTAGACACTAGACGTATATTTGTAACTTATTGAACCCATTAATAGAATACTTAAGTGGACTCAATCTATAAAAATTAATTATTCAAAAAAAATCTACAAATAATAAAGTTGCCAGCAATGCTAATATTATTACTTTTAAGTAGTAAAGTAATTAATGGAATAATTAAGTGGACTCAATCTATAAAAATTAATTATTCAAAAAAATCTACAAATAATAAAGTTGCCAACAATGCTAATATTATTATTTTTAAGTAGTAAAGTAATTAATGGAATAATTAAGAGAAGTATGAAAAAAATAGCTTGATTGAAGTACAATATTAGACCTATTATTCATACTTCTTTCAAGCAATTACCCTTTTCTGTAAAATTTCTTAATTCCTCAATTTATTAATATCCTTTTCTTTTTGTTTTATAAATTGAATTATATGTACAAACATGTCCTTCAGTTTTGAAACATAATTAAACAGCTCTTCCCACAATGGAACCTGTTTTAAACAACTCAAAACTAATAGTTACACTGTCTAATGTCACAAAACACAAAAAGGTTATATCATTACTATGGCAACCCAGTCAGAGTGACTAGACAATGGGATACTCAACTATCAATCAGTACACACTGGATTGTTAAAGTATTAATTCCATGCACAACCTTATATAAACCTACTGCTAACATGCCAAGGGACAAATACTGCTTAAGACACACTACTGAGTGACTATACAAATTTCAATAGTATTATTTAGGTAATAAACTGCTAAAAAAAAAAAAGGGTGTCATGATCTCTAGACTACTTGTTTTTATAAGCTGATATTTAACAGTAACTGTAACACTATTATATGTTATCAATTGAATGACCTAAAATTTAGATCTACTAGATCAAGGTTAAATCAACTTTTTTTTTAAAAAAGAGACCATGCCAACTTATTTTGTTAATTTTTTTCTTTGGTTCTAATGCCAAATAATTCTGAATGATTATGTTTCAAGTGCACAATTACAGTACATGTAATTTTTGACAAATACCCAAATGGAATTTAAATGTGATAGTTTACCAGAGTAATGCTTTATTTCTGTGCTGTTTTTGGGTATGTCCATTTTTGGATTCAATTCATTATAAAAACTAGATATTGTTTCAGAAATATCTGTATGTTTCTGTTACTTTCAAAATATATAATGTACATAAGCTAAGCCTCTCAGAATTAACTAGTTCTTTTGAAAAGCACTAACTGGTTGGTGTCACTTTCACGAAGACCCACATTGGAAAAGCAGTCATGTACAATGGAACATATATCATTTTTACACATCTAGTACTAATGATTTCAAGAATGGTCAAATACTTTTGTATGTACTTCTTATTGTTCCCAATTTCTTAGAATAATCTCTTTATCTAAATCATTGAAACAGTAAACCTCTACTGAAATATCTCAAAAGCGAAGAGCAATGTTTCTTAAGCCTAATAAATTCCATGTTATTAGCACACAAAAGACTAAAATATTATAACATTAATAATCACTAATATGCATGAAACAAACTTATAAGAAAAACATAAAACACATTGTTATGGGCATTAGTGTTTGAACATAAAATATCAATGATATATAAAACGTTTTAAATAGTGTGATATTACAGCAGTATAAGCATAATTTCTTTAGAAACACCATGAAAAACGGCAATAAAAAGCATTCTAAAACACATCAGAAAGAAACAAACAAAAAATGGATGATGGAAGTCCCATACATAAGAATATTCCCAAAAGTAATTGTTCAAAACAGACTTAAGTTAAACTTTTGCCTTAAACAAAACCAATTTCACAATGTGTCTAACTTATACAAAACTCTGTGATAGAAAATGTTACTGAAAATCAACGAGGTAATTTGTGAAGACAAAAAACAAAGAAGGGGTCAGTTACTGTACCATATAAATTGATATAATTACAAATTTTGCAGAGGTACATTTCTGCACCAGATGTAGCAGGAACAATTGTAGATATATTTTCTTTTCTACTTTACTGAGACCACTTAGTTAATCTTAAACATAAAGGAGCAATATTTTCATCTCAGAAGTATGATTATTTCAGTGATTAACTAATTCACAAATATATTGAATGTTTATCCTATTCTGAAGATCATTAGATATGACTCTCAAATGAACTTGGAAATAGATGTTCTACACCATTCACTAAACCATGACCATCAAACATTTTAACAGACCAAAAGAAGAAGAAGAAGAAGGTTAAAATTGGTAAGTTTATTTGGAATTAATGTTCTGATTGTATTGTTTCTTGTCCTTTGGTTTAATTAATGGCCTGCAAAAACTACAATATGTGATTCTGTCGGTTCCCACTGCTATAAAATTGGAAACCAGTGTTGTAGACCCTTCAAAAAAGGCCTTACAATGTTTCTCAAAATTATTAAAAGTTAAAAACTTAACTAATATAAAATATGTTTTCAATTTAATAAAGGTACTATAAGTGAAAATGATAACTGTCTTCTAACAAAACACTATATTTACTAATAGTGTAAGACCCTTAACCTTTCACACAAACAAATATGGATACCTTGCAATCATTTCTTAACTTTCTTATCTTTATTTGAGACTTGCTTTCTAGTGCTCCTAATATGAGATTCTATTTTTGAAGGAAAAGATTTAATAAAAAAAAACTGAACTACATTATCACTAGTGTGCAATCCCAAAAAAAACAGGTTTACGAAAACAACTAAAAACTTATTATAGTTGCAAAAGTATGATACTAAAAATTATTATTTCAAGTACAACCTTCTTTTAAGTTTAGTTTTCTTATTTATTAGCATATTACAAAGGTTAAAAACTTACTTGCAAATTTGCTATTGTTCTTTTTCTTTGATGGTGATGGAGGTAATGAATCACATACTCCTTCTTCCTGAGAGTAGGCGACATTCTTTGACAGTTTCGAGGTTTGATCATCATGAGACACAGAAGACGATGAAGATGAAAAGTTTTTATCTTGTGTTGTATATAATGTAGAGGTCAATGCTGTCTGTGAATATGTTACTCTTGTACAAGTAAGTTTAAGAGCATCAGAAACTACAGATGATGATGGCATCCACTCTGAATGTTGTGCAGTTTGTGAAGCTGTCGTGGGAAATATATTTGAGTCATCAGACTCCCTAGAAACCTGTTGCATGTGGTAAAATTCATGTGGCTGATTATTCTCTTCTTCATTTTCCTCTGTTGTGGCATTAATCAATTCCTGAGATTCTACTTCATCTTCTAGCAAATTTTTGCATCTTTTTTTTTTGTTAAGAGCAAACCCATCAATTTTTGCACACTTGTGAGTATCACTAGCTTTGTAAAGATGTGAAAGACCATCAAACAAACCCTTTCCCTGCCCAGTACTTGTAGCTGTGAGGGAAGAAGATCCAAGAACAGATGTATGTGAATGAGTAGATGCAATACAAGATGAACAATTTGATTTGAAGAATAATGATGAGCTGCTAAAAATAGAAGTTTGTTGGATGCATGATGAATCTGTTATACTGACCGTACCTTTAGTCAATTGTTTGGATACCACATTTTCCACACCCACACTCAACTGCAACTTTTCAGAAGAATCAAAGTGACCATTTACTTCTTGTCTTACGTCAGACACAACTGAGGTGAATGGTGTTGCTAAGGAGCTCAAAGCAACCCGGGATTTACGTTTATTAGTCGGGGTGAAAAACTTTGTTAGTCCATCAATCAGTCCTTTGGTTTTGTTTGAGAGTGAGAATGGTTCAAATAAACCAGGAATGATAGCTTGAGACTGATCTTCCATCAACTCCAGCTTGTGTTCTAAAGTTTCTTCAGTAGCAAGATTAGAATGTGAAAATGATGATGGTACAGTTATTTTATTTTCATCACGTTGCTCTACTTGTAATGTAATCTTTTTCTTTGCCCTTCTTACTCCTCTCCATTTTGGCAATTGAGTTACTGATCTTTTCCTGCGTAAACAAGCAAAATAACTTTATACATTTCTAAATTGTCAGCAATTTTTATATCTGTACAATAAGGGAAATAAACATATATTTAAAAAAACAACAATACAAATCTATCTATACATTTTAAGGCGACTAAAAGTTCTGCCACCTGTTCAGGAAACATTTTCATACAGACTCAACATCATCAATTTGGACTACTGAAAAATAAAAGTCATGTATTGCACTTTAATAATTTGGATACCCTTTTCACTAATGAAAGGACAGAATGCTTTTTATCACAAAGTTCCACATATAGTTCAGATTAAGCTCCTTTTTTTATATGAACTTATTGTTTTGATATTTGTTTCAGGGTATTTAGGCCTAAAAATAATAAATTGATGATATTTTTTTATGTTCACATTAAATTAAGCCTAATTTATTTTATTAGCATTCAGTAAAAGTCATTGAAAGTTTCTGAAAATTAAAGAATATAAACAGAATTTTAGCTTCTTTATTTTCTAGGTATTTCCAGAATAAGTTTCAATATGGCTGCACCAATGAATCCAACTTATGAACTTGTACACAAAAACCTGTTAATTTGTACTGATTAGCTAAGTTTGAAATATTGCTATATGTGTATACAAATATATATATATTTCCTACATGAGGGAAAAGCAAATAAACAAAAATCATAATTCACTACACTGAGTCAGTTTAACCCTGCTACCCTCCACCCCCTACAGGGAGAGGAATATTAATATAAGTAAAATTTAGCTTGAAATTCTTTTATACTTAAAAACATAACATTTTCTTTTGTCTTTCATTTCATGGCTATATTGATTGCCAATAGCAGCTTTATACAAATAGTGTTACTCAAAAAGGAAAAAAATTGAACAAATATGTGAAATAAATTTTTCATAATATCAAAAAAAAAAATTTTTAACACAACACTACAATTAAACTTTAATGTATACTTAGTATTCTCAGTTACCATCTTTGTGACTTTTACAAGATAGTTTCATTATTTCTGCAACATTATCTCCCATTGGCCATTCAATTTAAAATATTTCTTAATTCTTTTCTAACTAGTATTTGAATCTTGAGCATTGGTTTAATATTTCAATTAGTTCGCATGAGTGAAAGTGTCCAATGGTCATTTTAACTGAAACATATTTACCTGCCAGGGGGTTTTGAGGCCTAGGCAGCTCCCAAAAGATGTGGGGTTGTATATGTTTTCAGATGAATTTCGAGCCATTTTTGGACAACTTTGAGAAATAAAATTTAACTTGATTTTGCAGAAAAAAAGAAATTCAGTTATCATTTAGAACTCATCATGTTACCAGATGGACCAACTTGATAATCACATGAGGCTAGTTAAGCTTTTTTTACGCAATCCTTTTACACTTAGGCCCAATTAATATTTTCAAACCTCAGATGTACACAAGAAAAAACATTTCACTGAATTAACCAATTATGACCCTTTACTTGTACAAATGAAAATTATTGAAACTTTAGACCCATGAAAATTAGAACAGTGGTGGCAATTAAATGCAAAATGTGTTTATTTGACATTAAATTTAAATCATGCTTTGTAATCATGCCTTGAAAAGGGAATTTTAATGGAATTCAGTCTACAGATGGAGAACTTTCACACAGGAGTTTGCTATGTTTATAAACATGTTTATTTGTTTCTAGTAAAGCACAAAACTACAAAAAGGGCTATCTGTGCTGTGCTCACAATGGGTATCAAAAACAGATTTTTTTAGTGTTGTAAGTCTGCAGACTTACCGTCAAGCTACTGAGGGAGCCGAACATGTTTAAAAAATTAGAAAGGATATTTTATGATCAACATTTCATTTACCACAACATTATTTTGTTCACTAACAAACATGTGAAAAATTAACTATTACTAAATTTTGCTTTGTTCTTTGCTGTTACAATATAGCACAAACAGTTGTTTGAAAGAAGAGGTGTCCATGTGAACTTGTTTCACGCTATCACGAAAGCTGAGGAAACAGTTTCTATAGTGTTCTTGTTTTAATCTTCTGTACTCTTACAAATATATGTGCTAGTGAACATTAAGGCCACCATTATACTCTAGAATTAAAAAAATTACAAATATTTTCTTTCTTCTAGCAAACTTGTATAAAAATTTCCTGTTCTTACTTTATAATATCTGTGATATATCAACAGAAATTCTTGTAGCTTACTTCTTACATTTGCTTTTGGTATAAAATAAATACAATATCATCATATCTAAACAGAATAATGATTTAAAAGGTACTAAATAAAAATTGCCTTTGTTAAGGTGCATTAATTTAGTTGATCTCATCTTCACTTTTGTACCTTCCCTCACAAAATAACATAACCTCAAAAAGCATAGTTTCATATTACCTGTCCAATTATTAGCATTTAAAAATGCCACATGTATTGCCAAAAGCAACTTAACTAAATACATAAATGAAATTTAAGTAAACTATTAGGTCAATGTATGGATTTGAGAAAAGAAAGTTCCATTTTAATTATGTATAAGTGCACATATTGATGTTAATAAAGTCAGAAATAAAAGAAAGGTTTTAAACAGATAAAAATCATACACAATCATTCTGTGACACGATCTTTTACATTCTTCTTTTAAATAAAGCACTGATGAATTTTTTTAATTGTGCTTGACTTGGGGTATGTATTTAATCATTAAACATAGTGCTAAATTAATTGAAGTTTATGGTTACAGATACAATTAAAAACAAAACAGTTACTCTGAGTTTTCCAAGCTAGAAATAAGAAAACAAAGTGGGAATAAAAGGCACAGATTATATGTTCCACTTCTTAACCAGATAGGCAAGACTAAGTAACTCCACAATCAAATAATGTTTTGTAGAAAAAATAAATACAAATTAAGTTTATTGATTATTTTAGTTATAAGTATTTTACAGTTACATTTGAATTAAAAATTCAAAATCTTCAAATTTGGGTGATTTTTTTTATAGTATCAGTGGCATAATCATGTAGATTTGTTTTCAAAATCACATTTCATAATTCAGACACAAAATACAAATGTCAACAGACACTAAGCACTTAAATCCAAAACTTTATCATCATTCAATCCAAAATAATTACTTTGTTTGCATTTCTAATAAAACATTTCTCAGAAAGTTTAAATTCTACCAATAAACAATAAATATTTTTGTGTTCTTGATTTTTGAAGATAAAACTGCATAAAATGATCTTGAAAACCAAAGAAGTGTATACATACAAAAGGGACAGTCATAATTACCAAATGAAAAAAATCTTTTACAAATTCAAAAACTGTATAGTTCTTTGTGAACTTTGAAACCCAAATTAACACAACTATAGTAGAAACTATATAATGAATACTAATAGTTTAGGTTGTTTAGAAACAGAGTCAGAAAAATGTCTTATCAATCATCTTTTTAATAATTCTCTTTATATTCAACTAATGTTTTTTTTTAGCACAAAGTTACACAACGGATTATTTCGGCTCTGTCCACCTTGGTGAATCAAACCCCAAATTTTAGCATGCAAGTCCATGAACTTACCACTAGGAGAACATTAATTATGAAAGATTATATTATACAAGTAAAGTCTTTTTAATGTTTGGAAACTTAACAACAGCTGAATACAGAGAAGCAAAGTGACTGGACTGTGGTGTATTCAGGACATCACAAAATGTAACACATAATAAATAGTGACAATTAAAGTTCTGATGTTTCAACAATATAAACTGCACAAACAAATTATTATTTTTCTTACCTTTTGACTTTCATGTGTTTTTCATTTAAAGGTTTGTGTAAATCACAGTCTGAAGAGAGGTAAGCACTAGGAAGGGGAAAAAAATATATTTGTTTTAAAATCCCTTAACAACAATTTTTCACTTTGATAGATTGTTTAGGCAGAGTATTCATGATGAAACTTAGTTGAATGGATGGCAGCTGTCTGTTGTAGAAACACAAGTGCAGAGGATGACATTCCGAAAGTCTTCCGCCTTTCATCTTCATGCAGTTGCAGTCCATTCAACTAAGTTTCAACAATGTTTCACATTCTTTGAAATACTAGCATAGTAATATAATGGACTATAATGAGATTGGATTCACCTAAAAAGCCCATGTATTTTCCCGAAAAAAAAACAGACATGTTTTCGATGTGGTTGTTATGTAATTATAATTAAATTTAGAATGCCTATCACATTCAGAAGAAATAAGCACGTTCTTCAGATACAACAACTATTTCAATTTGTCACATTTCAAAAACAGTTCAAACAGGAACCTTCCTTCAAAAACTCACAGATTCTGACATATATTTCAATGCTCAATGTTGAGACATTTAATAACAGTTTGAAGAAGGTTCTAATTTACACGTTGTTTGTATACAGGGCTAAGTATTTAACACACTAAAATTACACTCGAAATACTGTATTTTTTAGTTTTCTAATAGCAATAAACAATACTAATGAATACAGACCATTTAAGCACTGAATGTATACCTTTTTTTTTGGAACTGTACAACAAGCAGTTTGTAAAACCACACAATCATTCTCTGAAAATGTTATTCATCACAACTACATTCAAAATCTTTAGGTTTTTTTTTTTAATTATTATTATCAGACAGATCTTGTAACCATTTTGTGCTTGTTATAGTTTTCATGCTATAACTTTTAGATTAGTAAGCGAATGTTAACGCAATTTGGCAGGTTATCAGTAAATATTACAATACTTTCATACGCAAAATATCAATTTTTTTTTATTAAGTCTCAAGGTTTATAAGGCAATGTTTTTCTCATGTCTGTTTTTTCTTTTCGCATGTTGCCTATCTATCATTCAAAGTAATATTCATTTTAAGATTAAAAATAATTTTATGCATCAGAAAATTTTGAAATTTCACATGCAAAATCTTTATAATGTTTAGATAGTTATCAAACATTTCTTTAAAAAAAACTTTACATTTTATTTCATATATTCAGTAATTAATCTCTGTACGGGTTCGGTAGATGTGACCAATCTCGCAACCATCATATAAAAATTAGGAAATACATATAAATTATGCCTCTTTCATTCTAGAATGAACACAAATTATAACACAAAAACATAAATGTTTAGACTAAATAGCTTACATCTCATAACATTATACATTTATGTATATTTATTATTTTTATTATACTGACCTTTCTGCCATGCCTGGCTAACAATACAGAAGTTATAATTATGCGGCTAACGTGCACTCATGTTACCGTATCAAATAACATAAAACTGACCTTTAGTCTGTGCAAAGTAACTTATCTTGGCCATAGACTAGTATATTGTAATATACAGTCACATTTTAATTATTATACATTATATGTATATAGATGATTACTATTTTGAAATAAGTTCTTAAACTTATTTTCCCTAAAACACAGAACAGTAAATAAAGAAGTAAAGCAAACAATTATCTCTTCTAGTAAGACCTTTGTACTCGGTTGCTGCTTGACGTGGGTTGCTAAGCAGTTAAAAATTTTGCACGTGGAGAATATGAAACAAAATATTTTTTTAGGCTTTCTATATATACATTTGAATAACTAAAAAAGCATAAATTACTATATTAATACTGTAGAATTCCATTATAA